GCACTCCCTGAAAAGTCCTTTTCTGTAAGCAGGTAAAGCACCATTTACAACATGAATATCCTCCACCTTGGTTCGAGAGCAGTTATTGGGATGGTGTAGCCAAAAAATTTGTGTGTTTTTGACATTGTGAGAGTGGGCACATGTTGGTATGATGGCATATGTCACAGTTGTGACGGCCACAGGCCTTGTCAGTGTGTTTTCCTGCCTCTGCTTTCCTTTTCCCAGTCTGGATGACCTGCCTGTCCCACTTCATTAAAAGGATTGGCCTCACCTGTTTGGTGCCTTTAAAAGCTGGATGAATTCAAGATGGCTCTCTCTTTCTCCCTCCTGGAAGGCTGGAGCCTTTCAGGTCTCTCTTGGTTTGGTTTGGTTTGATTATATTGAGTTTAGCCTGGGTTTGTGGACCTTATCATTAGTTTTCATTTGTTGAATGTTTTCAATAAATTACTCATTTAGTTTAAAAGCTGTTCCCATGTCGACCTCTCTTCTTTGTTATGCTCTTCAATGAGCTGGGCACAACACAGTTCATGTCGTTCGCACTGAATGTTCTTCTTCAGAGGCCTCAGGTTGGTAGGCGAGACCTCAGTGATGGAGGTCAACCAAAATGACCAACATGCATTTGGCTGTGTGACTTTTCCACGGAAGACTATTGTTTGCTCTCTGGGTTGTAGCCATCGAACCAACTCTCATCACCCTCAAGATGAACGTTCAGTTCAGTTCAGTTCAGTTTAACACAGAATTTGATGTTTGCTCCGCGGGTATGTTTGAGGCCCATGTTGAAATCATAAAATGTTCACCTGCAAGTGATCAGAACAGGACTTGCAGAGGGGTGCAAGAGCACAAAGAACAGTGTATTGCTGCACATGAACACTACTTTGAAGGGGATAGCAGCTGCATTGAAATGAAGCATGGTTTGTGCTTTTAAGAGAGCTCCTCACAGAACTTTGTGATCCTCACCTCATATAGGTCAAAGGTCATTTAACAACTGATGCTGTGCCAGAGGTTGCTTAATCTAACACAGTGACATGGGTTGTAATAATCTGCTTGCACAAACAAGTCTAGTTTTGTTTCCACTTTCAGTGTTGTTGATTTTTCTGAAGTGTAGC